CCTTTCTGGAAGTCATTGGAAATGCGGAAAAATGGAACATGAAAATTGCTTAAAATTTGGACCCTCTTTAGGAAGAAAAATTTAAATGTTGAATATCTGAGAATTCAACCACAAACTCAAGGAGGTATCCCACATCAAAATTGGGATCAAATTACTCAAGTTATGGAATCTGGAAGTGCAGTTTTGGGTTCCGATTCTGAAAGCAATTGGGATGGAAAAATCAAACATGATTTTCGAGGATCGAATTTCAATTAATTATAAGGAGCGTAAACCTTTGGGTTGAAATGTAACCTTTGTAAATTTACATAGTTTGGAGCAGATATTCAAACAGGATCTCCTCCGTGTGTGGGAAAGCAATTCAATCCTCTTGTTCCACTTTGTGCCGTTAAACCTTACTCAATTTCAAATAATCTTTGCCCTGGATATCCTGGATTGTATTTACTCTGTGCCAACCCATCCCCCCCGTCATTCGGCCTTAAATGAGCTTTCGGTTACAGTTTTGGCAATTGCCTGGGGGCGGAATAACCTCATCATCATCGTGCACCTGATCACTGGACATATGCTGGGACTTCTAATACTGTTATCTGCTCCCATTACAAACACACACACACACACACGAGGCAACACCTTGATGTGAACTTTGACCGTTTTGGTAACTCATTTAGTTAGATTATTTACGGTAATCCAAGACGCCAGCCACAAGCCAACCGCCAACTTAACTGCAGACACTCTCTGTTGGCCAGGATAGCATGGCTCCTTTATTTTCCTGCTGCCCCTTCGGGCCAACTACATCCTTTCACCGGAATGGGTATTAGTATGAGTATCTACGGGCTAAATACATGCAAGTTGTTTTGCTAAATTGTGCGTAAGCTCAAGAGCAGCAGCAGCAACAAGGATCTTCGGGAAAGTTTCTCAAGCTCTGCCATGCCAATTCAAATAACACTTTTATTTCGCTCTCAGCCGCCCCGCTCTCCTTTTGGCCCTGTTTTTTGGTACGTGTCTGCGGTGTTTGTATGTGTTACATGATTGCCACGCCCCCTTTTCCTTGGGCTTGGGCTTGGGCTTGGCTCACCTGTCGCACCTTTACTCTAACCCCCTTTTTTTTGGTTGGTGGGGGGGGGGGATATACAGCATCATCCTTGGCTGCTGGCAGCTTGTGTGCGTGCGCTCATTAGCATTCTGAAACGGCTTTATAAAATTCAACAAGCAACCCAAGTTGCATGTTCGCTAGGAGGGTAGAGAAAGGGGAGGGTGGGCGTAATACAGTCACCCCACCACCCACTGCCCATTCTGCACCCACGCCACAAAAAACCCCCTTTCTTGTCGGAGGCTGCATGTCTCTGCTGTTGCCCTTGTTGTTGCCTAGTTTCTATTTCTTTGTCTAAGTTTGCACACGGCGAACAAATATCCTTTACACTTTCTAAATCCTATTGCTAAGTTCAAGTAATCTTAATAACAAGATCTTTAAAAATCTTAAAGAAAAAATTAATATACTGAATACCTTAATACTTCTAATAATTTATTTAAATTGCTTTGTTATAAATACTATTTTTTTTTTAATTCCTAACTGATTACACACCCCCCACTGATTTTGATTATATTTTTTTAAAATATTTTTTTTTTAAATATTATTATTCACTATTGTTATGCTCTCTGATCAATTATAAAAATTATATAGTTGATAAACAATTTGTATCTAAGAAAAACATGTTTAAAAAAACTTAATATGGACAATTGTGCCTATCGTATTCAAGTAAAACCTTCTAAAGTACTAACCAGAAAAGCGGCTGACTTATCTTTTTTCGTAAGCTTGACCAGGCTTATTTAAAAATTGATCAGAATAGTATAATAAGATATTTGATTTAATAACATACAATATTGTAATTGATTTCTTGATTTTCCATTTATGAATACCAAAGTAAAGTTAATAAAAGAGTAGCTGATTTGCCTATATCAATTGATTTTTAAGGCAACTAAAAATGTTTATTTAATGTTTTATATTCCCTTATCCTTTTTTTGGAGGCGGACTAAAGTTCTGATAAATATTATAAAATATTTGTTTATGTCGGTACCCAAGTCCTGCTTATACTCTCCTTTTTTCCCTGTGTATTTGTGTGTGAGTTTTTTTATTGTTGTTGCCTGCACACATTCTGTTGTTATCCTGAGCACTCCATCCCCCCCCAATCTCTTGCTGTCTCGCTCTGCTGCTATCCCTGTCTCTGTCTATCGTGCGGATGCCGGTCTGCCTCGAGTTGCATAAATTGAATCTGAATTTGTGAGTAAATTGCACACAGGAGACACATTATTTTTGAGTTTTGCCTTTTAAATTTGTGGCTTTTCACTTTGAGTTGCCCCCCCACCAGCGCCACCCCAGAAATTGCAACAATCTCTGTCCTCAACTTTGTGGCACTTGCCCTCCCCCTCCTTTTTGCTCGGCAATTTTGTGTGACCCACTTGAACATTGGATTGAAGTTACGCCTACTACCGAACCACTCTGGGAAAAGCTCTCAGCTAACCAGCCACCCCAAAAAATCGCCCATTTAAATCAATATTAATAGGTGCAGGCCTCTTTTTCGCAAATTGCACATTGCACAAATTGTTCGTCTATAAATACGATAAAATGTTTATTTAATATGTACCAGACCGTGCCAGCTGTACGAGAATCCAGAAAGCCAATACCAGGACAACAACAGCCACAGCAACAAATAATGACTTATCCATGGCACGTAGATGGGCTGGAAAAAAGTGGGGGCGGTGGAAAATCAAAGACACTCGGTCCTGTCCTGGGCAATCCTTTTCCATATGCAAATTGTTTTTATAAATTTGCAACAAGCAATTGTTTGTTGCCATCGTTGTTGAATAGCAATTTATATGGCAAAACACCGATACAATATAGCCAAAAGAATGTCCAATGGAGAGCAGCAAACACATTTTACGGGGGATTATGAAATGTGTGGGGGGTAATCCCCTCAGGAAAAACTTTGATTTTCCGTATTAAATTTAGCACAACCTCAAATTTAATCCTTGCTTATGAATAATTGCCCTTCAGTAGGCAATAAAATTTCAATGAAACAATTACATGTCCGCATTATCTGTTTAACTTTCAATTACAAATGATTTAACTGACAAGTAAATTGTATGGAAAAACGCAAACAATAAAACTGTATGTCAAAAGTGGAGCAGAAATGAGGTTGAGATGGGTTAAGCCAGCTATACGAATGGGGTTCGGTGGGTTAAGGGTGGGGGTAAATGGAAATTACCGAGAATTTCTATGACACGCATGCATTATTGGAATGGAATTAACTAGCTTGGTATTTCAGGATTTCAAAGAAAAACATTTGAGCTTACATTTGTGCTTTTAATTTGGAAATTGCTATTTTGCAAGTGCTTTGCATTTTGTGTTGATTAAATTTCAATTTAAAGTGCCAACTACTATATGAATTATTTCCATCCATTTGCAAGCAGCTGAACTAGTAACTCAGCTTATTATAAATTCAGTTGTACAAATTAATTGCTCTGCACTTATTCCGCCATTAATGACAGAGTATAGCTTTTAGCCAGTTAATTATTTGGAAATAGCCTGTATTTATGATTTATTGCAAGGTCAGGGCTAAATATTATATAGAGCTGTTCTGCGAAATTATATTGATACACTGGCATTTTATAATGTCACTTTATTTAAAGCATATTTAATGGTTTTCCTATATAGGTTATCAAACATTTCAAAGAATTGTAAACCTCAGTTATAAAAAATTCTTGAATAAATCTTTTAATTAAATCATTCCTTGTTTATAAGTCTTAGTTTTATTAGATTTGGATTTCTAGGATTCCGTATTACTTATTTATTTGTATTTCTTTATCTAATTGATTTCCGTTGGAACCTCTTACCATATTATATTTCTACACTAAACATTTCTATCTTGACCCATGACACACCTGAAACCGAAGGAATATGTGTGTTTTCATCACGGGTTGTTTAGCTCTTAGCCATCGCTAGTTGACCATTTGGACCTGAATATGTTAACTGGGCCTGGGCGGTGATCCCATCCTGGTTTCTGGGCCACACGGAGTGGAATCAGGACCGTAACAATTGCCACAATTGCAATAGAATCGTCGTTAATTACTGTCTGTGCTTGCGGTTCTCTGTGGGCTCGGATTGAGTGGGGTGGTGGTGCAGGTTGGGTGGTTTCCGATGGGTGTGAGTGGGTGGTTGCTGGTGGTACTGCCACCAATGGTGGGCTTAAAAGAGCAAGACAAATACGAGCATGTGTCTGGTCCTGGGCTCTGAAAGAAGTTGTGAGTTTCGCAGCAAAGGAGGCGGAGGCATCGTTAAGCGTTGCTGCCAAGTGGCAAAACTCAAATAAACATAAACGTGCACACAGGCGGCGGTGGTAAAGAGGGGTTAAAAGGGGGGCAGCACAGCCTTGCCACAGCCCAAAATCTCTGAGCTGGTTTGTTGTCTTTGCCTGTCTCGTTTCGCTACGTTTTGCTGGCAAGGGAGACTCATTAAAATGCAGTGCGAGATAATAAGCATTTTAATTAAATATTTAACAAGAATAAGTTTATCACAACACGAAAGGAAAGAAACGGGCACAGAAACAGCGTTTTGTAGAGTGAGTTGGGGCACGGCGTGTAATGGCTTGTAAGCGTCTGCCTTCGAACAGTTCGGAAAAAGGGGCATTTGCGGATGGGAGATACTCGGGGGGACTTAGACTGCTCATTTGGCCCCGTCTCTTAGCCCTACTACCCCCCCTTTTCCCAGCAATATTTTGATGTAATTTGAGCGCCTAATTGGCGCACGTGCTAAACTGACGATGGCAGGTTCAACTTTGGGCCGGGTTTCCCGTTTCGCTCTTTCTGTTTTTCTGGTCCCCGTTCTGGGTTTTTTGGTCCTGGTTTCTGGTTCAGGTTCAGTTACTTGGCTCCTGGCTTGGGTAAATATTTGCCGAACTTCTCGCTAACCGTCTCCTGTTTACATCTCCTTCCAAATCTACTTGCAGAGGCTTCGGCTTTGTCACATTCAGCGATCCAAATAGCGTAGATAAGGTACTCACCCAAGGCACACACGAGCTGGATGGCAAAAAGGTAAATGTTACACACGAACTCATCGCTTTTTTTTCCCTTATTTTTCAAACAGCAAAACTCCACTTTAACTATGCTAAATATTTGCTCAAAAGCATCATCATCATCATCATACCCCCAATATTTCCCCAGCCCTCTATTGACAGCAATTAGAAAGTCAAAGCATAACAGTAAGGCTAAAAAAAAGAGGCATGCAAAAGTTGCCAAAAAATAGGGCCCAAAAAGCCAAACAATTTTTAATTAGCTGATATGACAGGCGCGATGAACATCAATGAGCTGCAATGGTTTTTTTTTTCAGTAGCCCTTTTGTGAAAATATTCATCTTTTAGGAACTTTAGTTTTTAATTTCCTATGTTACCAAACTGATTTTTGAAAATTAAAAATTGAAAGATTTGAGCTTTTCTATATGAACTTATTTTCTAGTATTAAAGAAAATTAATAAAGCAATAAAAAACAATTTTAAAATAATTAATTTTAAAAAATTGATAAAAACTTTTTACTTTTTTAACATTTGGCTACAAAATGTAATATTTTCTATACTTAAGTTAGGAATATTCCATCCATTCCCAATCCACGTTATTAGTCAATTTACCGCCAAGATGTCGTATCTCCATTTTATCCATTTAATTAATCGGCTTCGGCAATCGCTGTTCATTCCTCTGCATAAATACATTTCCGAAAGCGCCTTCCTTCCGCATTTTCAATAGGTGGAAATCGCATTTGATTAGCTGCCGGCGGGAGTACAGTGGAGACCCGCTAATGATACCTGCCCACGCATTACGCATACGCCGCATGGGCATTAGCCTAATTGAGTGAAGCCGGACTGTTTTGGTCCTTCGTCCTGCGGTCCAATGTCCGATGTCCATCCGATCATCCTTTTATGCTCGCCAACTGTAAATAAAATGCGCAGCCAGCATTTATGTGCAAATTTTTTTTTGAGCCGCCGTTTTTGTTTGTTCCGCAACTGCATTTACATGCAGAGTACGTGTAATGTTTATATCTATGTGCATATAGATATATATCCACTATATACACGTCTTCCTGACTTTCGGATGGTCAGGGATTTTCCGTGTTTCCGTTTGGCTGCACAGCGACGCAAAACGAAACGAATTCATTTCATTTCGTTACGGTTTTTCGGCCTGATGTATTTCAAAAAGGCAAAAGCATCGACATCGACAACCTACGAAAACCGTAAACCGTTTCGGCACTCAGCGCTGATTAGTTTTAATTTTAATCTAAAAATCAATTTCCCGCCGTGCGGCTTCTCTTGTTTTTCGTCCTGCACACAGGAAATCAACACGGCAAACGGCAAAACACAACGCCAACAAAAACAGAAACAGAAATGGCAACCAAAGCTGGTCCACACCATGTCCTGCCTATCCTGTGACAGATTTTCCCTGTGTATATATACACTGTATGTGCGAATTATTATCGCCAGAGGATATTGCGTTGCTTCCTTCGCCTTCCCCGGCGCCTTCATTGGCTTAAGATAGCCGGATAAATGCAACAGCAGCACTTCAGCTGACAGGATTTAGTGCCACCCTTGGCTACCAGATTTTTTATTCCGGCTGTCAGGACGAGCTGTGTCCTTGCACTAATATGAAAGCCGCAGCTCGAACGCCAAATGGCGAAAGGCGAGACAGGAAAATCAGGAAAAGCGCTGTCAGAAGCTGAAAAGATAGACCAGGCGAAAATGCTTAAAATTGAATTTTTATGATTTTTAATTATTTTTAATGACGCTGCTTATTGGGTAGAAGCTGCTCGTTTTTTTTTTGCTCCTTACGCCCGCTGGCCGAGCAATTTGTTACGCGTTAATTCGTGCGTGCTCAGCTTGAAGTCACCCGCTAGCAGACACCATCCGTAGCATCCATACCATCCAACCCATGGTACCTCCCCAACCATCCAACCAAAACCCATGCCAAAAATCCCCTCCCCTTTCCCCTTGGGGCAATTTCATTTAATGTGCAGTGCAGGCTTATGCAAGATTTATGCGCGGCTATTAATATGAAGAGTTGTGCGAAATGTTCTTTTCATTTAAATGTCATTAAGCATACGATTTCCTTTGGATCTCCCATCGACTCATGGTATATTTTCTTTGTCTATCTCCCTCTCGCCCGCAGGTCGATCCGAAAGTAGCTTTTCCGCGCCGAGCACATCCCAAGGTAAGTACCAGAGAAAATCGAAAAAAATAATATTAATCCCTTTATAATAATATAAGAAAATAAGACAGCAAAATAAATTTACTGCTTGAAGGTAAGGGTTGCTGGAAAAACCAAATAATCCCTACTTATTTCTCTTTATACCATTTAAAACTGTTTTCCGACGATTGTTATTTTTCATATAATATATGAATATTTAATATCAATTATAAACTAAAGAAATGTAATAATCCATTCTGTAACAAATAGTGTTTTCCACCTTGGTCATGCCTTCTTTAAGTTCTTACAAAATTCAGTTCTCACTCAGATATATAATCTCCCTTAAAAGGCTATATAAAAAAAAGAAGATACAAAACAGAAAAAAAATTCAAAAAAAAAGTCGCCCGTTTTCGTGGTTTTTTGGGAGTGTGTGGTTCGAGGTGGGGATGGCAAAAGGATGTGTCATAAGTAGCAGTAAATGGCAGATGAAATTAAAAACGGAAGATGACAACAACAACAAAGCTGCCAGGACGAGGCGAAGATAACTTTGTGTCTGACAGGCGTCGGTTGCGTTGGCTTCCTGCAAACCCATCTCCCACCACCCATCCCGCCCACCGCCACGCCCCCTTGGGCCACCCTAAATGCCACCTTAACACCAGCTCTTCTTAAAGTGATGATGACAACAGAATTTCGCCAAAAAAAAGCAAAGACATAAGGGGAACCACTGCGAACTGCTGCTGTCTGCAGCCATCGCACCCCTCTCTTTCTTTCGACGACTCCCCCTCTCTTTCTTCCGCCGATTCCCCCTCTCTTTCTCAACTTGCCACACGCACATTTTCTACCGGTTAGACAGCGCGTTACAAATGTGCCTCTGTTTTCGGTTTTTACTGTCGTCTTTATGCTGGTATACCCTTTGTACAGGAAGAGATCCATTCGAAAATCTTAAAGGGTGGATAGGAAAGAAAAAGGAAATGTTTTTCTATCACATATTAGTGCATCAATTGGTTGGAGCTATAATTTCTGGGTACATTATATTATTGGTTTCAAACGACCCAGTAAAATATAATATATCATATAATCATATCTTATATCTGTGAATGGAGGTTGCACCTTCTAATATGGTATGATGTATTAAGGAAATGCTGAAAAATACCCATCAAATACAATATTAGTAGAGACTGTATTTGTTCTATTTGTAAGAAAGCATTCTGATTAAAAATAACCTCTTTCTGAAATGAGAAATATATGGGTAATTAGAAAAAGTTCTAGAGACGTTAAAGTTGGCTTTACTTAGCTATGTTTTAAAGACTTTTTCTCCAATTAAATCCCCAAACTAACCCAGTATATATAGGTATTCGACCTAATATTCTGAGTAACTTTTCACCGATTCGGCTGAACGACAAACCGCAAAGCACACCAAAAATACGCACGCAAATGGCACCCACACACACACTGCCTCATATTACACCCACACACACACACACTCGTAAGACAAGGAAACGAAGTCGAAGGCACCGCCTCCTGTTTCCGGCCACCCAAACCTTCTGATCCTTCAGTTGCCGGCAACTCTCCTTGGAGCTATATGCGTGCTTATCAACACGCAGCTGATTTCCGTTGCTATTCCAGAGGCGCGTGCCTCCCAAACACTGCCCCCAACCCCTCAAGAATTTTCAGCCCCACCACCCATTGAACACCCCCTCCCCCAAACACCACCCCCTCAAGCAGCAGCCAACAATTATTTACGTAATGTTATTATTATAATATTTTTTTAAACGCATTCTCACTGGATTTGCGCGGCGTTACCAAGAAGTAGACAGCCACAAGGAAGGAGCCAAAAAGGATGTTCGAGGAGAGAGGAGGGGGGTTTCGGTGGTTTAAGGTTTTAGAGCGCAAAGAGGCTGAGCCGGGGGGCGTGGCTAGGACGTTGGCTATGCGGCATTTTGCGAGTGGCTTTGTGTTTTGCTGGGGATCTGCTGCTACGCGCGAATATCCTCTCGCATATTAAAAGGCGTTTAAAAACATAAATCCAACGTCTAACGGCTGCTTATGAAAATTACGAGGAAAAAATGACTGACAGAGCGGGACGGCAAATGGGGTATAGAAAGAGACGGCAGGCGGCTTAGTGCGAGGCAAATGGCAGGGACACCCGAAGGAGTTTTCCTACGCAGCACGGACCAAAAAAAAAAAACAAGATATCTGGGTGGAAAAAAATTGCAGGCGACATCAAAAGCAAAAAAATGTGGGAGAAACCCCCGAAAAGAAAGGGAAAGGGGGAGGCAGAATGATAGGGAGGACAATTTCTCGCACCGTTTGCCAGGACCAAAAAAACGAGGACCGGGCTAAAGAAGGAAGGATTGCCCACAAAATGCGGCCCAAAATGCTTGCGGTTGCAGCGAAAGTTAAGAGTTTTAAAAAAGGAGCGTAGACGTAGGCAGTTGGGGACTTTTCTGGGTCTGGATGGGGCTAACGGAGGGGAACGGGAAGAAACATAATGAAATGAAGCATACTAAATGACGCTGCTAAGTTTTCGCTGGGACACACAAACACACAGAAGGATGGGCACTTGGAGAAATACCTGATTCTTGGTACTTATAAGATTCATTTGAATACGTTGTTAAGAATTATCTGTTTCTTTTTTGTTACTTATAAATAATAAGTAGAGATCGTATTATACGCAAAGCCGTATTCCAATCCATGATATTAAGTTATGATGTCAAGTAATAACATTTCTTATCAACAATATAAAATTGTTAACCAAGATGAAACTTAAAACATTTACATCACAAAGTAGTTAAAGAGCTAACACGTATTTTTAAATTTTACAATTGAATCTATAGAATTTTTTCTCAGTGTTTTGGCACACACACGCATACCGCGCCATAATGAAATGCGAAAAAATGATGATGATATTTTTGGACCATAAAATGCAGATGAGCCGACTAAGCAGAAAATAGTGTCGCAGCTGGAGAAGAGGGGACATTCTCTGCAGCAGGGGCTGGCTGAGGGGTGTTAAGTAGGCCTCTACTTTCGCAGCATACCCTACTTTCGCCCCTTTTCCGCTTTCTACTTTCTCTTCTGCTTTTTTACACATGTCGCAAAACTCTTCCCCTAACTTTAGATGGAGTTAATTTCTTCGCTTTTTAAGCACTCCCCTCCATGAATATGAAATGTATATTTGTGTTAGTTATATTTTTTTTTTGGGGAGGCTTTGAGGTGTAGAATAATGGGGGCGGGGACAGGGGGAGTGGCATACATATGTCATGTAAAAAAGTTCGCTTTTAATGTGCAAAATTGCTGGCGGACTAGGGCCATAAAAGTGCATGGGAATAAGTGAAATGGATTTTTGGGCTACGCTGCCCTGTCCCATATAAGTGCGCTATAAAAAAAATGAATTTCCAGAACGGTCCGGGGCAGCAGATATAGTTTGAACTTGGCTAGGATTTATGGCTGTTTGTTCAGAACAAAAGAAAAGTGGAGGGACCCCATATGAATCTCTTGGCTTATTCCTCTGGAGTGCGTGTGTGCGGGCAAAAAATATCCCGGATTCGTTGAGTTGGGTAAATCCTTTAATGTCGAGTTGAGGTGCGTACACGAACAGGTCGTATAAGTGGATTATACGCACAGATCGGATTTCGGCATTGGCGTTGCCTTAGATTAGGTTATTTTATCAACTTGAACCGCATAGTTATGGACCATATAATAGCCGAAATAAATAACCAGAGAAAAGCTTTGCACATACTCGAATAGGAAGTTATTACAGTTATTCAATAAAGTTTCATGGTACTGTCTTAAAATGGCTAAATTATGTGTATTGTTAAGAACACACAGAATGTTTTTGATATTGAAAGTAATGCGTTATGATGGTAATGGTTATATAATGATTAATACGAAAGAACATACTTTTAGTAAGTAATATTTTAACAAATTTCTCTTAACTACAATACGATATTGTAATTTATTGCATTTTTTAAGGCTATTTATTTTTGTAAAGTTTTCAAAACTTGGATTAAGTACAAGAACAAACTAAATATCTTATATATCAGATTACATTGTATATCATTGGAAAAACGTTCCCTGATATCATAGGTTTCTAAAACTGTCAGTAATTTTGTGCTTTTATTTCCACAGTTGTCAAGTTATCCTGCCCCACAAATTCTCGTAGGTAAATTAGTCGTAAGCAGTTCTTCGGCCCATAGATTTCCCAACGAATAATACTTTTTGAACCATCCCATTGGGGATCTCGTTTTGTGACAAATTCCTGACCAGGCGCAGACATCTCTTTCATTCGAGGGCCCATCAATGGGAAATGCTGTGTCCTGGCATCGTTTTTTCCATTAAATTAACACGCTCGAATGTGCTGCTCATGTGTGGGTATCTGTATCTGTGTGTGTTCTGCTTGTGTGTGTGTGTGAGTGAGTATGTTTGTGTGAGTAAGCGAGGGGGAGTTGTACACTTACATTGTGCAAACTTTTCTAATTTAAACCGGCAGTTTCAGTCAATTGCCACAGCTTACCGCTTTCGACATGAGTTTTACTTTTTTAGTACCTTCGGGTGTGCGAAGGATGCGATGTTGGCGCATTTTAGAAAGAGAAATGGAGAAGTGGAGAGTGGAGTGAAATGGGGGGGAGACAGAGAAATTTCCAATACATTAAAAGTTGTGTGAATACACTTGCCAGAATCCATTATAACCCAGCCAAACTGAACTGAACAGAACAGACATGAAAGCCAGGCCATAAATCTAATAAATACGTGTGTTTCTCACCCCTTTCACTTCCCCCCTTTGGTTCATTCCCACACACTTCCGGTTCCGTTTGCCGCCCTGTGCAATAACTTGTGAAATATGTAATCAATCAAGATGGAACAGTCGTTGAGGCAGCCAAACTATGTGGCAAGTATGCGTCTGACTGCAGTTCTTGGTGGGTTGAGTTCTGGGGGTGAAAGTTCAGGGGGCGGTCGGGTCGATTAATTCAACTTTCTGCTGCAGACAATGGCATGTGAAAAAGTCAAAAAGTTGAAAGTGCAAT